TGATGCACACTTTCTTTACATAAAACTCTCTTATACATGAGTTGCTGTGGATTTGTTTCTCCAAAGTACCTAGACTAATACGCTTCCCTTCACCATTTCCAGCCGAATGCGTCTTATTTCTCTTCTCTGTATGCAGAACATCACACAGTGCTCCTGTCTTCCATCGGCAGTTTCGAAAACGCAAGAGGTAAAAAAAAGCACTCAAGAGGTAGAAGAAAAGCCTATTGCATGCCACCCACGTCTTTGTTTACCGTATTTCTCCCCACTTGATGTTCAAAGCTCCTTATTCATCATTCTTTTGGGAGAACTTCCTTTAGCTTTGTTTCTTGGACCTGGGTTAGGTAAACCGAGAACTGACCCTTTTTCATGCAAGGGTACCAAGGGAAGGTGAATCTCGAGGTTTCAGGTCTGACAATGTGGAAAGCTATCATTGTCCGGGTCTAATTTAGGAGAGAAATGAAAGGCTCGAAACCAACAAGGCCCTGAGTCAACAGTGCTACTTGGGCTTCTTATTAAGGTCCCTGATTGGGCTACATGCTCTTTCATCATTTCTGCCTGCAATTGGACAAAATGGCGCAAGGTAAAGAAAGAGGCCGATTAACTCCAAAAGTAACTTAGTTGAGAGGTGTCATCACTGTGGTTATTTTATTATTTTTTTAAACTGTAGTTGTTTTGCTGATGGACTTGCCAAATGGAGTCGATGGGAATTCGATTTTTCAAAGCTTTTGAGTTTCTAGGTTTAGCAACTGCCAGTCCAACGAAGAGATGACTCTTCCAAATAAGAAGTGGCTCTGGGGCCCCCAGCATTCCATGAGCAGGAAGCAAACCAGAAGTTCATCCACTGGTACCCGGCTATCAAAAGACATAGTGTCTGGGGGCCTAAAGGCTTGAAGGTAAACAAGTGGCCACCTAGCTCAGAAGCAACAAAGCCCACATGGAAGAAGCACACCAGCCTGTGCGATCACAAGGTTTCGAAGGGATCAGGTATCAGGCATCATCAGAACAACAAAAATCATATCATTGTGAATGGGGGGCGGGGGAATGCGGAGTGGAGACCCAAAGCCCATTTGTAGGCCACTGGACATCCCCTTACAGAAGGATTGTGGGGAGGAGACGAGCCAGTCAGGGTACAGTGTAGCAACAATGAAACATACAACTTTCCTCTCATTCCTAAATGTCTCCTGTCCTTCCCCTGCTCCACTGTGACTATCATGATCCCAATTCTACCTTACAAATCTGGTTAGATCAGAGGATGTACACTGGTACATAAAGGAACTTGAAACACAGAGAATCCAGGACAGATGATCCCTTCAGGACCAGTGGTGACAGTGGCGATGCCAGAAGGGTGGAGGGGAGGGTGGGGGTGGAAAGGGGGAACCAATTACAAGGATCTACATATAACCTCCTCCCTAGGGAATGGGCAACAGAAAAGTGGGTGAAGGGAGACGTCGGACAGTGTAAGATAGGACAAAATAATTTATAAATTATCAAGGGTTCATGAAGGAGGAGGGAGTGGGGAGGAAAAATGAGCTGATGCCAAGGCCTTAAGTGGAGAGCAAATGTTTTGAGAATGAGGGCAGCGAATGTACAAATGTGCTTTACACAATTGATGGCTTGTGATAAGAGTTGTATGAGCCCTCAAGAAAATGATTTACAAAAAGCTCATCCAGGCACCACCACTGCTCCCCAATGCCCCCGTCCTTCAGATGCGATCCTCCTTCAAGGAGGTCTGAGAAGCCCCGGAGCAAAGAAATCAAGGGCCAGGAGCTACTTCCAGGACACAGGCTCCTGCACAGTTCTCTGACCTAGAGTAACGGGACGGGTTACGGTGTAGCATGGCCTTTGGCCTGCCGTGTGCCTTCCCTTCCGGCTGCGCCCTTGCTGAGAAGCAATGCGTCTGGAGGCAGTCCTCTCTGCTCCACCATTTATGCGATGGCGGTGATGTGGGGTCAGCTGTCAGTTTTCCAAGTTTCAGGATCAAGAGACAGTGCATCAGACCCCTGAGATCCTGCACTTTACATGTCATGATTCCAAACCCCAAACCACACTCAATGGCATCGAGTCAATACTGACTCATATCAATCCCCTGTGGCTTTCGCAGACTATAACTGTTTACGGGAGTAGAGAGCCCAGTCTTTCTCCAGGGAGCTGCTGGTGGTTTCGAACTGCCGACCATGAGGATCACAGCCCAACTCGTAACCACCACACCACCAGGGCCCCTTCCTATCATGACTAGATAAGACTTTTCACATGACTTCCTTGAGGAGAAGTATTTTGCATGGAAGGAAACAGTAGAGATTCATACCTAGATGAGCTAAGGCTGTTCCCCATTCACTGTCTCTTGTATAAGATTATTATTTTCATACTTGCCACCCTGGAGATGGAATGTCCTTGTCTGGCCCAGTGTTTGATTTGTCCAGGTGAGCTGCTTTTGGTCAATGGAGCCTGGGTCATTCGGCCTGAAGCTACGGACAACCAGGTGCTTCACATGTTCTTGCATGGTTTGGGGATGGCCTCTTGCTAAGAGACCAGCAAGTCCTGGACAGGCTAGTCTATCAGCCTGGGGTCAGAATGAGGAGCCCAGCAGAGGAGGGCCCCGGCAGCTCACCCCAGACCTCTGGGCGAAAAATACACGTCGGCCATCAATCACCGAGTATCTGAAGGTGCTTGTACTTCCTCTACGAAGTCTGAAGTTTACATACACACTCCCTTTAACGACACCCTCCTTCCTGGGTCTGATATGCTTTTAAGGTTTTCTTGTGTTGACGTGAAAGACCAGATTACTACAAACTCCAGCTCCTTTTCCTTTTTATTAAAGTGCCTCAGTAGACGAACACGTTACTAATGCGCAAAACAAACGACTGAAATCCTCCCAACTGAAAACGTCTCTGGATGAGAACCCACTGAGCCGGTGTTCTTCGATAGAATGCCAGCGCTTGCCAGCAGGTCAATCAACCCTGTTACCTTAGCGCCGGAATGTCGGGCCCCCCCCTCACCTGTGGTGCCTCAGTTTCTCCAGCTGCACTGGGAATGGATCTTCCCTTGGGAGAGGCACGAGAAGCAATGGCGTCTGAAAAGTTCCAGCTTAGCACACGTCTGTGACCCCGAAAGCATTCTGACGCACACTGCACCCCGGCCGGCTTTAAGAGGAAATTGATGGCCGATTGCGTTTTCATTCACACCACTTGGAAATGCACACAGCCTGCCCCCAGAGGAATGGACACCCCGATGACAGGTCCCCAACATTATTTTGATGACACTGGGGATGGCTGCCCTCAAGTTTTCACTTGATTCTCTCTAATCTATAGTTTTAAGAAGGGTTTTCTTTTTTAAACCTAAGGTAACTTTCTTCAGAACATTGAGACATTTTACCACGGAAACAGACACCCTGCTGCCCTGAAGCAGAGAGGTCCAGTCCGTCCAAGGCTCATCCTCAGAGCTCTGGCCGTTTCCTTGGGCCTCTTAACTTCATTGCACCTTCCGAAATGACCGGCCATGGGCAGCAGGTGTCTGGGCGGCTGGTGCTGTCATCGGACGTCTCGGCGGTTGAAAAGCTTGGCAGGACAGGCGATGGGTCTGTGCAGGCAGTCCTGACCGGGTCAGAGCCGGTGCTGAGACCTGGGTGACCTGGCCGCCAGCCCGCCGCCCTGCCGGACCAGGGCCACGTGGAGCGGTTGGTGCGCCAACCCTTTATGTCTTCAAAAAAACGGGCAGCACTGGTGGGGTGGAAACAGGGCTGCTGCATCCCCACAGGACGCCCAGAAGGTGCTAGCAAGGAAAAGAGCAGGGGATAAAAAAATAACAAAAACCAGGACTCAACATCGGGGGAGAAAAACGGGCAGCTGAGACGCGCTTGCTGTTCCAATCACGTAGGAGAGAGATCAGGCAGGAGTGCAAATGGACGCAGCCGGCTCAGTCAATGGGGCCTCCTGGAGTCAACTTGTCATTTGAAAAACGAGGTGGACGGACAGGATCATTTTCTGCGGCGTAATCACCTCTTTTAGGACTGAAGTCGTTAGGGACACACGGGACTGCCCCGGAGCAGTGCGTCCTGGTCCACCGCGGTGGTGGCTTTGAAAGAACTCCACGCCCCACAAGAGAGTCCTTTGCACGCTGCACACAGAGCACTCGGGGAATCAAGGCAACGTGCTCGCCCACCTCCCCCATCTGCCTGCCTCACATGTCCCAAAGTGCAGAGCAAACGGTGAGCCGTTATCCCCACAGGGCGGGCGCAGGTGTGGGCACTCTCAACTCACCTGAGAGCAGCTGGGCTTAGAAAGCGGGTGAGGGGGTGCCAGGCATCTTTGCCAAACGTACACTGCAGCGTTTCACAGGTGGTCTTGCCAAGGCTCTGGAAGGCCCTAGGACAGTGGTGTTCCACCTTCCTCATGCCACGACACCTTCATACAGTTCCTCATGTGGTGGTGATCTCCAACCATAAAACTTTTTGTTGCTACTCCATCACCGTCATTTTGCTACTGTAATGAATTAGCTGACCTCTGTGAAAGGGTCGTTCAATCCCCAAAGGGGTCTCGACCACTGCCCTAGGAACCAGCTCTCAGTGCTGAGATGAATGACCCGGGCAAGCACCCCACATGGGGCAAACGCCCTCCCCTTCATGGGGCCGGCAAAGGCCTGGTTTGAGGCAAGGTGCATGGGGAGAGAGGTCCGGCCAGAGAGCCAGCCGAGGGCTGACCCACAGATTCCCATGGTCAGCTGGACATCCAGCAGATGCAGGGCAGGCTGATCGATGCTCTATGAACCAGGATCCTAGCCCAGCACCACCGCTAGGCCAACAGCGCCCATATAGCCTGGGACCATGTTGGAAGTCCCTGGGCGGGGCCGAGAGCCTCCTGACAACCCCCCCCTCCCCACCCCCCGGAGTCTCTACTGACAGGAGCCAGGTCAGTGGCCCTGCAGCAGCTCCTCCCAGCAGATGGGCTGGGAGAACACCTCTCTCTCGAGCCAGAGTTCGTATGAGTAGTGGAACTCCTTGGGCAGCTCCAGCCTCTGGCCCAGAACGCTCTGCAGGCAGTTGTCCACGGGGGCAAACTCCGAGTCCTGGGGCCTGTCGTAGCGGCGGCTGTTGAAGGCCTCGATGCTGGCCCTCAGCGTGCACTCCTCCGCTTGGAAGTCCCACGGCCGGGCGTCGACGTCTGGGTAGAGAAGACAGGGAGAGCTGGCAGCAGGTCATACGGATCACTGCTCTCCCCCTACCGGAGCACAGGCCACGGGCCTCAGCCAGGCCGCCGCTCTGAATTCCCTTTTCCACAAAGAGCAACATACCGGGTACATGACCTGTTGCCACTGACCACCAACCACTGGTGCCCACAAACCCACTCCCGCCCGCGCGCATACGCACAGAGTCTCTTTGGAAGGGGAGTTTAGAAACTAGTATCAGGGTTACCTCTGAGGATGGGAGAGCTCTGGTTAAATTCCCCTTTTACCACTGCACATCACAAGAGCCCTGGCAGCGTAGTGGTTACGAGTTGGGCAGAAAGTGACAAGGTCAGCAGTTCGAAACCAGTAGCCGCTCCACAGGACAGAGATGGTTTTCTACTCCCATAGAGCTGCAGTCCCAGAAACCCACGGGGGCAGTTCTACCCTGTCCTGGGAATCCACTTCATGACAGTGACGGAGCACATGCTTACTAGGTCTCCGCATCCTTTGTCGCCTCTCCCCAAACAACCGCCAAATCAATCCACCGCTATCGTGGATACTGACTCAGACCGACTGTTTTCAGCCGATTCCAAGCCTCAGGAAGGTACAGGAAGGGGTGCGACAAGAAGGATCCCAATGGGCCAATCACCAAAGACTTCTCAACTCCGGCGCCAGCCACGGCATGTGACAAACCCAGGTGACAGGCTAGGCAGAGTCTGAGCTTCCAGGAGGTCCGCCACAGAAAGCAGAGGACGGGCTTTGCTTTTGCTCATTTCGCGGCTGAGCCCTACTCCCCAGGCCCCTCCATGTCGTACCCGTCGGTCTATGGTGGGGAAGTGCAGGTGGGCAGGCTCCTCAGGGCAGCAGTGCTGGATGTGCATGTTTTAAAAACGTGCAAGGCTTCACGGAACGCGCTGTACTGGAGGGGTCAGAGTTGAAGGTGCACGCTGGCTCGTTAGAGGCCAGTCAAATGCTTCTCTTAATTCTCTGAATTTGGCTGCAACTTTAGAGCTAAGATGAGCGGTTAGTGCTAAGATATTATAACTAGGGTTCGTTTAGAGCAGTGGTTCTCAACCTTCCTAATGCCGCGACCCTTTAATACAGTTCCTCATGTTGTGGTGACTCCTGTATGTGGGTGTATCTGCACGTGGGTGGGCCCGCCTGGAGACGGATAGAGGAGTGGTGTCTAAGACCATATTTCCAATGGTCTTAAGCGACCCCTCATGAAAGGGTCGTTCGACCCCCAAAGGGGTCACGACCCCCAGGTTGAGAACCGCTGGTTCGGACTCTAAACTTTGGAGGATGCTGTCTGGAAGAACTCTACCACAGCATCCCCCAAAGCCCAAGCAGGTCACAAAGGGCAGCAAAGACTGGTCACTAGTCAGCCTGCGGGAAGTCTGAAAAAGGACCGGGCAAATGCTGCCCCGTCTCACCACTGCAATGCCCTCACTCTCCACAAGCAAGCTTGGTTTCCAGCTCCGACTGTACGGCTCATGCCTCGGAGCCCCAAAGAGTCTCACGACACGATGCAGATGTGTTACTGAAAGAACTGTGCTCAAAACTAAGCCTAGTCCCAGCGTCTTCGGACTAACTGATCTAACCTGAGCCAATTTACAGTGTCCTCAGGCTAACTGATCTAACCTGAGCCTAGTCCCAGCGTCTTCAGACTAACTGATCTAACCTGAGCCTAGTTACAGTGTCCTCAGGCTAACTGATCTAACCTGAGCCTAGTTAACAGCGTCTTCGGACTAACTGATCTAACCTGAGCCTAGTTACAGCGTCTTCGGACTAACTGATCTAACCTGAGCCTAGTTACAGTGTCCTCAGGCTAACTGATCTAACCTGAGCCTAGTTACAGTGTCTTCAGGCTAACTGATCTAACCTGAGCCTACTTACAGCGTCTTCGGACTAACTGATCTAACCTGAGCCTAGTTACAGTGTCCTCAGGCTAACTGCCCATCTTGGCTTTAAGTCCTGGTAGCTGAACTGCAGAGCACATCTGCTGACAAGAGGCAATGCACAGTACCCAACACCACCCAGCGAGCTCGAGAACCAAAGAGTGTTAAAAGTGCGTGATACCACTCGCTCCTTCGTTCCGTTCCCAGGAAATACCAGAGGCAGAAGAGCCAGGTCAAAGCAGCAGCTGGCCCGAGGCACACAATGACCTCCCAGGCCAGCTGCCCTAAATCTTCCGGCAGGCCGTGTCATGGGAAAACAGACCCTGCTTGATTCCAAACCAATGAGAGAGTCCCATGGGCTGCTAACGTCTGTGGTCCTGGCTTGGATTCTGGTTTGGAAAAGGTGAATTACAGAGAACATTCTGGGACAACTGGAGAATTCTGTACATGGATTTGATTGGTCTCTAAAGTGGAAATGGACCGATCTGAAACAGCGCAGGATGTGAACTACATGAACAACTCCCATCCCTTGTGGGAAGACATGCTCACGTGTGCATGCAGAAAAGATCGGGGGCTGTAGACAACAGGATGGTGAAGGGGCAACTTCTGGGCGGCTGTATGAATATGGCATCAACATGGCAATAGTGCAAAGTGTTTGCCAATTTCACGTCCTAATGGCTTTAAACATTTAAGGGACAAAAAGCAATGCGACGTTTAAAATCTTTAGGAGAATATTGTCCCTGCAAGGAGTGTCTTGGAAAGGGAGTGGCTCTTCCTTGTTTCATACGATACATTTTCATCGCTGACAAACAGCCAAGGACGGGCCAGCACCAGCCTTCAACTTTGTTCTATCCACACGGGACCTGCACCCATGGGTTTTGTTTCCTCATCTGAAACATGGAACAAACAAATCCCGGGGGGACTGGGGGACAGAGAAGTGGGCCTCGGTTGCCCCGGGGTGGCACGACACTCACCATTCCCATAGGCCCAGTCGTCGTTCATGCGGTGCCGCACCTTTTGGTAAATGGCCGACATGGTCTTCATGTTGCTTTTCCTCCACTGGCGTCCCAGGTACTTGGTCTGTATTTTCAGCAGCTTCAGGATGTAGAGCTGCAGCATGGCCTGCTTGACTTTGAGGGCCCGCTTCAGGATGGGAGCCGATTTGAACACCACCAACATCTGCCCGGAGGAAGAGGGGGTGGAGAGAGGTGGAGATGAAGCTACGTTGTTGTTTGTTTTTAGTGTCTGGCTCAGGGATACCAGGATCCAGCAATTCCTTAACCAGGTGGCTTCCCAGCCCCCTGGGGAGGTTTATGGGGAGTCAAGACCCAGATGCTCCTTTGATTTAGTCCACGGGGATAGGGGGCTACAGCAAGTCCATGTTGCCGAGATTCCAAGTGCATGCCGTATAACGTTAAAGAAACATTGCCAGTGTCCCCCGCCCCCTTTCCATAGCCACCGTTTTCCTGTGTGCCGTGCACAGCTGGCTCTTCCGTGCAGACCCTACTTCTACGAGGGCACAGAGGATAACCAACTACGGATCCCGTCACCTTGGCGCACTCTTTGCGTCTTTGTTAACAAGACCGAAGTGGGAGAGTTCCACAGGGGGACAGAACTACTCCCTTCTACAGCAGGGGTTCTCAGCCTTCCTGATGCCGGGACCCTTTCATACAGTTCCTCATGTGGTGGGGACCCCCAACCATAACATTATTTTCGTTGCTACTTCATCACTGTCATTTTGCTACGGTGATGACCTGGTAAAAGGGTTGTTCGACCCCCAAAGGGGTCGTGACCCACAGGTGGACAGCCACTGTCCTGCAGGCTCACCTGCTATCCTACCAGAAGGACGGTACCAGAATTTACTCAACTGGCTCGTGTGGTACCGGTGGGTGGTTTCTAATCTTTCATTTCCCCCAAACAATGCCTCGAGGGCACTCCTGGGCTGGCATCGCACGGCATGCCTGGCTGCAGTTCAGAGAAGAGTGACCTTCCTCCCCAGAGCTGCCCTGAGAGAGCGAGCTCAGCTCGGAGGGGGGAGAAGAGAGGGGTAGGAGAGGCTGAGGTCAGGGAGGCCATCTGCGCGTGTCCACAGAGAAAGCCAGCCAGCCGGACAGACACGGCCGCCCTCGGCGCCCACGCACCATGGTCCTGGAGTGCTTCCACTTGGTCAGTTTGTTGAGCAGCCGCAGGAGGTTGATGCACGAGAAGAGGTTCCTCCAGCAGAAGTGGCTGTTGTCTGCAGCTTCCTGTAACGCAAGGCCCGCACCGTGACCCCCACACCCACAGAGCCCAGGGTCAGCCAGCTGGCAGGGGGGTGGGGGCGGCCCCCACTTCTTGCTCTTCACACAGCATCCTTCATCCGAAAACACTCAACTGCCAACCTGGGGAGACTGCCTGGCGCCTAGGGGCTTGGTTCAAGCGACCCGTCTTTGGCAGGGTTCCAAGAGACAGGATAGACTTCTACCCCCATCCACACTGCCACCAGACAAGCCCCGCTGGTCCCTGCTCAACGTCAGGTCCCATGCTGGTGCGTTTCAAACGAGGATGGAGAGCTGCTATTCACCGGGGTTGGACTCTCTCAACCGCCATCCCCTTTTATCAAGCCGTATTGCATAATTCTCCAGCCAGGGAGGGGCAACGGCAGATGGTTCCTTCTGACCAGGTGTTTCTCTGACATGTTTCATGATAGCTTGTGAGCACCCCAGCCGAGATCGCAGGTGGATGTCAGATTCGAAGCAGGTGTTCCCTCACAGAAGCCATTTCTTTGAGACAGAAATAGGCGTCCCGATGTGCTCTGGGGGCTTGCAGGTTCATACCAAGTGTCAGAGGCGACATAAGTCAACGAGCCAGCAGGGTGGCCAAGCTACCGTCTTGGACCTTCCTCCCACTCCAGTGGGACAGAACACAGGCGAGCCTGGTGAACGGAAACTTCCCCTCGCTCCTGCCAGCTCAGGTGAACCAAGTAAGGCAGGCAGGCTTCTAAACCGGAGGAGTGAACACCCAACCAAATTGGAAAGGATCAGATTCTTGGGGTGGGGTGGGGTGGGGTAGGGGGAGTAAGTTAAGACCAAGGATTAGAAAAAAAACGTTTCAGGGCAACGTTTCAAAAACATTCCGAAATAAGTCTCCTGAAAAGGAACCCTCGTGGTGGGGGGGGTGGGTTACATGTTGGGCAGTTCGAATCCACCAGCTCCCTGGGAGAAAGATGAGGTTTTCTGCTCCCATAAAGGTCGACAGCCTCGGAAACGCAAAGGGGGCGGTTCTACCCTGTCCTCCTCCGGGGCTGTGGCGAGTCAGCATTCACTCAAGGGCACTGGGTCCGATTTGGGGCTCTTCCGTCGTAAATGTTCAGTGTTGCATTCGAAACAAGTCCTGGGGAGATGACTGTCTGGTTTTCTGAGGGAAACGTCTATGGGAGTTTTTGCCCTAGCGCATCAGCCGGCCTGGCTTGTCCTGGACAGGTCAGGCTCCCTAGTGATCCCACCTGGTGTCTGTGGCAGGGGAGACACCTTTAAAAGCTCGTGATGGTTACTGTTATTTAAAGGAGCTGGGAGACTACACTTCCTGCCCCCACCTCCCCACTATCATGATCTCAATTCTACTTTGCAAATCTGGCTAGACCAGAGCATGTACACGGGTACAGATAAGAGCTGGAAACACAGGGAATCCAGGACAGAT